ACGATAGATGTTAGATAGGAAAGAAGAAGGGGAGATAAGGACGATAGATGTTAGATAGGAAAGAAGAAGGGGAGACAAGGACGGTAGATGTTAGATAGGAAAGAAGAAGAAACCACACCAGAGCACCAGCCAACCACCCACATAATATTATAATATATATACAATGTAAATGTATATATATATATATATATATATATATATAGAGAGAGAGAGAGAGAGAGAGAGAGAGAGAGAGAGAGAGAGAGAGAGAGAGAGAGAGAGAGATCTATAATAATATTGCAAGCGAGATATGAAATCGCTCTATATGGACACTTGGGGGGGGGGGGAGACACTGGCGTGCGATCGCGACAAATGGAGACAGGCGCTGCAAGTTGGTCTCATCAGAGGTGTAGATCTCATGGTCTCATCACTCATGGTCTCATCAGAGGTGACGCCCTCATGGTCTCATCACTCATGGTCTCATCACTCATGGTCTCATCACTCATGGTCTCATCAGAGGTGAAGCGCTCATGGTCTCATCACTCATGGTCTCATCACTCATGGTCTCATCAGAGGTGAAGTCCTCATGGTCTCATCACTCATGGTCACATCACTCATGGTCTCATCAGAGGTGACGCCCTCATGGTCTCATCACTCATGGTCTCATCAGAGGTGAAGCGCTCATGGTCTCATCACTCATGGTCTCATCAGAGGTGAAGTCCTCATGGTCTCATCAGAGGTGAAGTCCTCATGGTCTCATCACTCATGGTCACATCACTCATGGTCTCATCAGAGGTGACGCCCTCATGGTCTCATCACTCATGGTCTCATCAGAGGTGAAGCGCTCATGGTCTCATCACTCATGGTCTCATCACTCATGGTCTCATCAGAGGTGAAGTCCTCATGGTCTCATCACTCATGGTCTCATCACTCATGGTCTCATCACTCATGGTCTCATCAGAGGTGAAGCCCACATGGTCTCAAGTCTCATCAGAGGTGAAGCCCACATGGTCTCATCAGAGGTGAAGCCCGACTGCGACAGGCAGCTGAGGACAAACGTCGTCGTCGAAAGAACAGCCAGAGGCTAGATCTACCAACGCAGGAAAACGCAACTTACAGGGGCAGCCACTGCAACAGGGACTGTCATCCCAGACAGCATGATTTCCTCGTCTGACTATGCGGCACTGGGTCAGCAAGGCGGACAAGCAGATTACTATGTCCTACTAACGTAGGACCGACTTTGAAATACTCTTCAGCGATGGCCTACCTATTGCCGATACTCTGTTACAAGGCGTTGTCCGACAGCCAGCCGCCAAAGCGGCTTTCACACATCAAAATAAAGTTGGCTCGGAGTCGGCAGCATTATATTCTCGTGTGGGTCTGTTCAGTTCAGCTACAGCAAGTGCTGCTCTCCAGAAATCTCATACGGCGCAGATCCGTAGTCTCCTGAGACTGAAGGGTGCCATACTAGCAGCATAAATAGAATATAATACGTAGTCTCCTGAGACTGAAGGGTGCCATACTAGCAGCATAAATAGAATATAATACGAGGGGCATACCAAAAGTTTTTTAACCTGACCAGGAAGGAATAAAGGTAGAAAGCTGAAATTTGGTACTAATCTTAGTCTTTCTTTATGTAGTCGCCTCCCAGAGTTATACATGTTTGACATCTGTGTATGACCTTGAAAAGACCTTGAGAATAGAGGACCCTCTCTATGTCAGAAAACCAGCCCTCTACCGCTTCTTTGACCTCATCATCACTTTTTTTTTCACCAAAATTTTACCACAGCATAGGACGGCCATCAGTTCCATATACGGCATGAATCTACGTAAAAATATCCCGTAGTTGTTTGCCTTACAAAAACAAATACTTCATTACTGCCCTGCGCTCAATGTTCTCCATTTTTATGTTGAAACTGGAGAACAACATACCCCCATTCACTCACAGTGCGCTGGTGGTAAAACCAATAATCAGAAATCCCCCAAAATTTACAAGCATTCTATGAAGATGATTGTTGGCTTGCACCCCAAATTTCAGCTTTCTACTTTTGTTCCTTCATGGTCAGGTAAAAAAACGTTTGTATGCCCCTCGTACAATTATAAGCATTTGTTCAGTTTGTGTCAGGTTGTAGGCCCCTATGTGTGTGAAGTGGACGGGCAAGATGAGGTGGGGGCACAGAATAGTGTAGAATTTTGTGAGTGAGGGCAACGATTGGTCAATCATAAATGGCAGTACAGACAGCACAGATTACAGAATGTTCATGGCGTCCTAAGTCTCCGCTGGGTTCTGTGACCCCGGCCACACGCTATGACGTCTCTGTCAGTTTCCCTTCCCGGTTGTCCGAGTTTTACGGCGCCTGCAAACTGCATTAGGTTATTTGTGAAGGGGGCACGCAGGTAATGTTGTCCCTTCCCACAGACTATGGACACGTAGGCCTACATGATGTACTATGGTGATACCACCTGCTTTTGAAAAAATAACTTTCCATCGGGGAACTTCTGGAA